CACAGTTCGCTAAAGAATAGATAAACATATCTTGGGGTTGATGGACACCGACAAATGCAACATCTAGGTACAAGGCTTTTTTTCAGTCGACTGACAACACCTAACATGAGAAGAATAGACAGTATGATAATTTTTAGTATAATTGTTTTTATATGATACTGTCGTTGATTGGACCGAATTGATCGGTTTCTATTAGTATATCGGCTCTTGTGTGGATGCCTCGATATTGCCAGCTTTCTAATTATGTTAATGATGGAGCCTATATGCTAATAGAGACAGATCAATTCTGTCCAATCAACGACGGCATCATATAAAAACAATTACATACTAAAAACTATACCCGTTGCACAAGAAGTGGCTATCGTGGCTTGGTAGTGCAGTGGATAACGCTCTGGCGTCTTAAGCGATCGTTCTCGAGTCAGAATCTCTATGGGAACAACATCACTGGGCAGTGGGGTGCAGGTACATCCAACTGACGAGTCCCAAATAGGGCGAAATGAGCATCCTGGATTCTACTGCTAGCCACAATCCGTCGTTAGTATGATAATTGTAAAAAATATACTTTATAAGCAAGTTATTTCCATTTTCTGTAAAGCGACTTTGATTCGTTAGGATTTATCTACCTTGAAAGAAGGAAATTTTCAATCAGTCACAATTGAAACATCATCATATCATAAACATTTTCAAATATTGGACAAATTTCCTCGAGTCTTGTCAAAACCACCTTGTTATATCACATAACATTAATAAAATATAAAAGTTTATATTTTCTACGATTTCGTTTAAGAACGGTAAGGTATTTCTTCCAGACGTTCGTCCACTTTTACAAGGATATATACATCTCCACAGAAGTTATCATTTAAGATCCTGGCGAGTACAAATCAGCTTCATAGTTGATATTCTCCAAGTAAAATCATATCGTTCTTATTATCGGATGCTTTTATTGTCTTAACAATTGTATTCTTTAGATCTGGTGTGTTTTTTTTGGGGGGGGGGATCAAGTCAATTTTTTTCAATAGTTTCGACACCTTAAACTGTTGTATTTACTACATTCTGTGACAGTGATTCCTTACTAGATATATTAATGAAGTTCTAGTCATTTCATTAGGGAAATTGTAAAAACCTTGTTCACGTTTATCATCTGTGTGATCTAACCTTCTGACTGTATTGTAAAACTTGTTAACTGGATAGATTGGATATATTTCGGATATTATATATATATGGTGCTATTTGACAAGTAACTTTATGATACACTTTTGAGTATGAGACATGAAGTGAATGTTCATATCTGTGTTGTATCATGATTTTTGTGAAAAGCAACAATTAAGAAGTTTATGTACTAGGTTAATGGTTACAACGGTTGATTGATATTTAATGGTACTATCACTGATACAACTACAAATCTTGGTAAGTGTAATTGGATTTCAGACAATGTCCAAGTGATTGAAGCTTGATTGGATATATTACTGATCTACATATCACCTGATAAGTTAATCTGTGCTCACGTAATCAGTAGGTCTTTTTCAGTTGCATAAGTGTGGTTACTTGCCTATTTATTTTCTCAACAAAAGAACATGTACCATTAATATAGGTTTAAAACTACAGGCGGCACAGATGAGGACGTCAAAGCCAGTCAGGATCAGAAAGACAGCAAGAAAGGCATTCATTAACCTGAAACCAGTGTGGAGATCTTCCACACTCAGCATAAAGCACAAACAACATCCGGATTTTCAACAACAACGTCAAATCAGTGCTTGTATGTGATGGTTGAGAGACTTGGAGCGTTACGAAAAGCATCTCCAACAGACTACACATATTCATCAACAACTGCCTACACTGGCTCGTTACTGAAGCTCACATGGCGATAGCAATGAGAATAAGCAACAAGCAACTCTGGCTGGTTGGCAACGAACCAACGAAGCAAGAACTTATCGCTCAACAAATATGCAGAAGGAAGTGGAGATGGACTGTATTGGGCATGCACTGAGAAGACAATTCGGGAACATCACGCACTAGGCCAGGCTATCGAGTGGAATGCAAAGGGGAAACGACGAGTGATATAGTATTATATACTTGACAACGACGTTTCGAGCATAAATCATTGCTCATAATCATATCAGTGTGATATGATATGGGCTTGACTGATGGTGACTGAAAGAGGTCTCGAGGACACGCGTTTCGTTCTATCCGGGACTCGTCAGGTGGATGTGCCCCCAGCCTATTGGATAATGTTTTGACATATTGAATGATATAGAAATATTTAGGCTTTTACACAGTAACCCATATGCCAGAAGAGGTCAAACATTATCTTCAACTCTATAATTAAGGTGGCTAAATGTAATGTAAATGACCTGGGTTAATTGCTTTCTGTAAAAGTCCCTCTCGACACCTTATTGGATTGGTTTTATAAACATCATTTTTTTCTGTCTACCAGAAGTCTGGGCTTGACAACCAAGCTACTTTCAAATTGGATACTAGATAACTGGGGTATGAACCAGATTTGACTTGAGACAAGATGTGTAATCTATTCCAACGAACGCAGGTCTTTATTTACTATTTACTTGGAACAATTGACAGCCACTCGTTTTACTGTTGTTTTTTTTCGATTTGGAAAATTATTTGGAAAAAAGTAGTTGGTTTGAAATACCACGGTTTCAATCAGTTGATCTGATAAAAAGTATTATCGGATAATCTATCAAAGGTGGCACTATGTAGAAGTAATGTTCACAGTTTATACCATGGTATGTATGGGTACCTGTTGAAACGATTCTCAAGTCTGTTAATTCATTTCAACTAAGCATTGGCTATTCAGGAATTCAAACCATTATTATACGGTTAAAAGAAGCATGTATAACCTCTTCCTTTGCTATGCTCATCGTAAATTATCCATCTCTCTAAATAACCTGCATATTACGTAATTAGTTGTGTTTATATTCTGTTTATTTCCCTCATAACGTAACTTTGCATTTTGATGTAGTTTATATTGATCTTTGATCAGGAACTACTCTAGAATGAGGAAAGTAAGCCTTATTGAACTTAACAGAATAATCTAGGATGCGCGTTTCCTCCTATTTGGGACTCACCATACAGTTGGATATACCTGCACTCCAGTCTGTGTTGTTATTCCCACTGAGACTCGAACTCGTATGCATAGCTTTAAACTCCATGGCGTTATCCACTATGTCACAGAGGAACGATAGCCACTTCTTGCACAACCGGTAATAGTTATTACCATTTATTGACATACTTGTTATTCTTCGTTGTCTTGTTGCATCGAATTGTTCAACTTCTATTGGCATATGGGCTCCTAAGCGGATGCCTCGATATTGCCTGAATGTTAATTATAATAATTTGGTTGGTTGTGGCTAACAGAGGTCGAACAGTTCAGTCAAACACAACAAACACTGAAGAATAACAAGTATATCAATAAATAGTAATAACTACTACCGATTGTACAAGAAACAGCTATCGTTCCTCTTACTGAGTCTCAGTGGGAATAACAACACAGACTGGAGTGCAGGTATATCCAACTGACTGGTGAGTCCCAAATAGAAGGAAACGTATATCCTGGATTATTCTGTTAAGTTCAATAAGGCTTACTTTCCTCATTCTAGAGTAGTTCCTGATCAAAGATCAATATAAACTATATCAAAATGCAAAGTTACGTTATGAGGGAAATAAACAGAATATAAACAAAACTAATTACGTAATATGCAGGTTATTTAGAGAGATGGATAATTTACGATGAGCATAGCAAAGGAAGAGGTTATACATGCTTCTTTTGACCGTATCATCATCATTATCAACATAGGACCAGGCATTACTGCGTAACGGTCCAACTTGCCACATCTCACGTCACTTCATCAAGTAGAAAGGTAGTGAGGTGAAGGATGAAGATAAGTGAATGCAGTCAAAAGAAATATAAAGTACGAGAAGAAAGGAAAGAGGAGTGACAAAATGATGAGATTCGGTATAGCGTTGTTAAGATGAGGATAATGTGTGTATACATCTGCGCCATTGACATCGGTTCTGAGCCATGTGATCACCTAGAGTTTCCAGCCACTGGTTCCTCTTGTCCCACCGACCCCAACCACCTAGTCTGCATCGTCCTACATGGCTTAAACCAACAGTCAGAGACTTCATACATTTGGTGCCATGTTTTAGTCTGGCCATCTCGAGCCTTTTTCCAGCCTGGACCTACCTCAGCCACTCCTTCCGAGTGGTTTTGTCATACTCTGTACATTATGTTGAAGGACTTATCAGTAAGAATGAAATGTTCTGTCACACAGGTGAAGATGGATTTCCATTTTTCGCCTTATCAGTTAGGTTTAAATAGTGTTCATGAGTACATTGAATAAGTTAGAGCATAGTACAGTTGATGAATAGTTTAGTTAGTGTTAAGAGATGAAGGTAATTGTCACAATCAACTTTCAATCATTTATGACTTTCATTTGTTCTGCACATATTAATAAATCATTACTTCCTAGGTATTCTGTTGTTTATTTGATTTCTCTACCCAAATATTATATGCTCACAATATTCGCCTGTCCTAATCATCTTTATTCAGATGCATTTATCAATGTTTTGTCAGTAAGCACCTATAGTAATGCACATTCTTATTATTGTCCTTTGTGTTTATCTTTCATGAAAAAGGAAAAAAAAAATTATTCACCTATTTCCTTCTTTTTTGTTTTGTTTTCTGTTTTGTAAAATCTTGTCTGATTCCAAGAACCTATGAATTCTTTCACAAATTCAACTAATTCATCATTGTTCTGCACATATACATTCACCTATGTTTAATTTAACTGTTTTATACAAATATTCATTTAGTTACTTATATATCAAATTTATTTTGTGTATATTTTCTTTATTATACAATTTTTGTTACATTACACCGCTGCCAAAACAATTCCATTACACAATTATATTCTATTGTGGCTACATTCAACGGTTAATCAATCCTTCAAATTATCATATATTTATTTGGTCAATACATTCAGGGATATCTATCTTCAACGCTTAAACCAGCGGGGAAAAATGGAAAACTTACAGCGGTAAGTTAAAATTTATACATAATATGTTACACTTAAAAGTGTACTTCTATTCATTGTTGATGTATATGTATTCAAGTTAGATGTTAGTTGGTTGGAGGCAATCAGCAGGAAGTCCTACCTCACCTAGGTTTCATACTTTTTGTCATTCGTCAACAAGGCGTATCTCCAACCTCAACAGAACTGATATCCTGCCTGGGATTCGAATCCGCATCACCCAGTGTTGTAGTCAGCGAATTTATCACTGATCTATTTTGGCCGCGATCCACCTCCTGTATGACTGGCTTACATGTATTGATTGGTGACGGGAGTGCTATCAATTTCATGGTGCCTAGTACTGAGTGCACACCGAATTCTATCGATCATATTTACGATGTCGCAACCAAGCTAAGAAGCTCAGCATCGCGGTGCATATTAGTAGATGTTAGTTGGTTGGAGGCAATCGACAGGAAGCCCCGCCTCATCTCGGTTTCATGTTTTTTGTCACTTGTCAGCAAGGCGTATCTGCAACCTCAACAGAACTGATGTCCCGCTTGAGATTCGAATCCGCGTCACCCAGTGTTCTAGTCAGTGACTTTACCACGCCGATTCGAATCTCAAGCGGGACATCAGTTCTGTTGAGGTTGCAGATACGCCTTGCTGACAAGTGACAAAAAACACGAAACCGAGGTGAGGCAGGGCTTCCTGTCGATTGCCTCCAACCAACTAACATTTACTAATGTACACCGTGATGCTGACCTTCCTAGCTTGGTTGCCACATTACAAAATTGATCGGTAGAATTCGATTAGCAGTTAGGGCATGGAATTGTTTCCTCCCAGGTGACCAAGTAGTGTATAAATTGCATTCATCATTTCACTCATAAAATACTGTTTTTACTTGTCTTCTTTGTAAGAAGGAGTTCTCACAGTCATGATTACTGCAGACAATACTACTAACAAGTAATACTTATTGAGGTAGCTAAGGCTGAAAGTAAACTGGATAAAAATTATGAAGTTCAGTTTTCTTTCTCCATCTGAAGTAAGATTCTGATTCATTTAACAAAATTGTCTATGTAAATAGAATAAGTTTCTACCGTATATGAATGTAACTATTCTGTAAACAGTAATAAACTTAACTTTTCTACTTGTCTCTCTAAAGAGAAGGTCTATTTTGAATCTTCATTATAATCTATTGTTTGGAGTGGCACTAACTTTCAACGCATATAGTTATGTTTGGAAAGATGAACTTACATTCCCTCCTATCATTTCAGAGTATTAAGCTTTTCGTCTGGGGTACGCATTCATTACTGTCTTAAGTAAGATGGTGAAAATAGTTTAGATAACGAATATCTTCTGATTGTTGAATTCCAGAAACCATACAATACTAATTAAATATAATCTTATTTCATAAAAATGTTGAGTTTGCTAAATATCTACCATAATTTTTTTATACTGGGTGATGATTGGAGGTGAAGTGAAAAGTTGAAACCGTGGCCGGATTCGAACCAGCGACTACCGGGTTTTCGGCTTGAGCTACGAGGTCCGTCTACTGTTAACTAGATTTTTATTTCACTCGAGTCATGGGAATTCATAATGTCTTACTATCACTTGATCGTGTTCGCCTAGTCAAGACTTCTCATCTCAATCCCGATCAGAGTGAATTAGAGACGCAGGACATCACTGATTATCATTTAACTATCTGGGATAGTCGTAGGTTGCCAGACTAGGCGGCCAGTGTGAACACAATCAAGTGGTAGTAAGACATCACGAATTCCCATGGCTGAAGTGAAATAAAAATCTGGTTAACAGTAGTCGGATCCGGTAGCTCGGTTGGTAGAGCATCAGGCCGGAAACCCTATAGTCGCTGGTTAGAAGCTAACCGCGGTCCGACTTTTCACTTCACCTTCAATCATCACCCAGTACAAATTCTAGTCTGCCAGACTAGTGCTATTTCACATAGTCCTTTGGGTTCCTAGTGGAAAATAGGATTTCAGTAGCACGTCTCCATTCCAATCTGTTCTCTGCAATCTTTTGAACCTGGCTCCACAACAGACGAGGCAATCGGCGACTAGGCATATGTGACACGTGTCCCAACCAGCCATCTCAGTCGATGAAGGTTCACAACCTTGTCAACTCACTTACCTCTGCTCCCTAAAACTCTACACCTGACGTCTGCGTTACTCACGTGGTGTGGTGACACCACGGCATACAACCTGTACTACAAAGGCAACGGTGGTCAAACACCTGCAGCCAGGCTTCTCATGTCCTCCACCTGTAATGGCCATATTTCACAGCCATACAGTAGAATAGACCGGACTGTTGTGTAGTATACGCGACCCTTAATAGACACTCGGATATCACTGCGGCACCACAGGTGGTGTGAGTTGGTGGAACCCAACAGAACTTTTTGTATCCGTGCGGAGATTTTACCTGCATCCCAGTGCGCAGTGATGTTGTTCCACTGAGACTCGAACCTCGTACCCATCACTTTAAATGCCAAAGGCGTAATCCACCATACCACGGAGGAACAATGGCCACTTCTTGTACAACGGGTATTAGTTATTACAAATTGCCATAATTAACATTCAGGCAATATCGAGGCATCCGCTTAGGAGCCCATATGCCGATAGAGGTCGAACAATCTGGTCCAATAAACACAACAGAGAATTACAAGTGCATCAATAAACAGTAACGATTGTAATTCCCTATAATCCAAAAGTAATTTGTTGTATACTTTTTTTCTTCAGGAAAACACTAATAGACTGATGCTACATTGACGTGTTACTAACTATCCGTTGGCAGCCGGCTTGAATCATAGATTACTAAATTTATCCATTTATCTGAGCCTTCATTCATGGCCTTCAGAGATCTAAAACAGTTTGCTTACAAACACCGGAGGAGTACTTTAGATGCAGCTACTGTCTTGCATCATAATATTGTTTCTAGTCTCGACAAAGGTGTTAAGTATGTCCTCTGTGCCTTTTTGGATTACTCATCAGCCCTTGACTCTGTTCCTAGACCACTTTTGTTAAATAAGCTTGCCATAGCTCACACTGATCCATGGGTTACAAAATGGCTGTATTCTTGTTTTTCTGAAAGGAAACAGTACACTATTCATAAAGGAATGTGCTCGACTTCATTGCTTACTGAAGCTGGTGTGCCTCAAGGTGTTGTACTTTCTCATTTCCTGTTTTCGTTTTTTTGCACGATTTGCCTTATTCTGTTGAAACTAATTTTATCAAGTATGCTGACGACCTGACGATTTCTATTCCAGTAAACTCTTCTTTGGATTGCTCAAAATTAAATGAATTCTTGTCTGAAGTTGGTAAATGGTCTCTCTCAAATGGTCTCAAAGTAAACCCCTCTAAATGTCAGACTATTAATTTTAGCCTCAGGTGTAAACAAGACTTATGTGAGCTGCTTAAATCTCATGACGCCTGCTGCATCAATGGTATGGTATTTCTGCAGAAAGTAAATCGAGTGTGAACTATCTTGGGTTGCGTTTTACCTTCTGACCTTTGTTGGTCGCTCCATATTTTGTTGATTTGTAAAAAAATCTTTCGTTTAACTTATTACGTAAGGAAATTGAGGCTTTCTGGTATAACTCAACTGCTTCTTTTACAATTTATTAATTCCTGCATTTTACCTATTCTTCTATATTGTTCCCCATTAATCTTTCCTGGTCTTCTTAAAAAGGACTATGTTATGTTGAGTAGGGCTTTGAAGGCCATCAGCAGGGTGAGTGATGTGTCTCTGGCTCAACTGATTAACACTGTAGCTGATCGATATATAAATCCCTACAAGCTACTAGCTGCAGAAATTTTAACTGACAGTGAGCATCCACTTCATTTACAGCTCTCTCTCTCCATGTATCTCCTCACAGGGAGGACAAGGAGAAACTACATAAGACGACTGTATGCTCGTACAGCTAAATATAAGAATTAGACTGTACCTTACCTTGCACGTATATTTTGTGAGGAAAAACGTGTTAGAACAGAAATCACACATCAACTTTGTAACAGATAAAAATCTCATTTCAATAATTCAACTTACATTACAAAATTTTCTCGTTTTTAATATTCTTCACATATTTCAAGTTGTTATTCATCGCAGACTGACATCAGTTAGGGGAACAAAGGAAACCCGGGAGCATTGGACAGCTGTTTCGTCCTAGTATAGGACTCCTGAACAGTGCGCACCCACAACCCCGCCAGCCAGGGATCGAACCCGTGACTTTCAGGTTCCGCGAGCAGCGCATTACTATTGAGCTAGCCACTGGGTCAATGAATCCAATGGCCCATATTTCCAACTTCTGTTAGCTCTTCACATAACTTAAATTTTTATAATAAAACAATTCGAAAGGCTGTAAAGGAGTATGTATATACGGATGTATTTCGTTGTTATTACAATATATATTACACTGAGAATTCCAAATTGTACCACAAATTGTTTGGAATAAAGTGTATTATTATTAAAGTATAGATCTGGGAGTGAACTTGTTGAAAACTTACATGCTCTGTCATACATATTGTTTAGAATAAGGTGATCATAATTTTTTTAAAAACATTTGAGGTCAAGTATTTTCTTATCACTGAAAGTGTTCTAATGATCAGGCATACTATTCATTTGTGAAATAATGGAGAATATTTTTAGCTCAGGTGGATGGTCTTGGTTGTATTATGTTCTCTGAGCTGGGTTGTTTAATCGTTATTAAGCAATACTATTCATTTGTATATGGTTACATTCTACATGTATTCATTTTTCATAATCTCATACTGATTTTAATTAACACACACAGTATCACACATTAGGGTGAGATAGGTCCACAGTATTTAAAACTAACTTAGTTGGGTAGAGGGAGGGAGAGATTGATAATCACCGAATCTTTTTTTTATCTTATCACCATCAAATACATGCGGTAATCGAAATGATTCTGCACCTGTCCCAGATATATGGTTTATCCTACTATTTTTATCATCACAGAGAAGGAGAGAAAATTAGGAATATACATAGTCTGTCTCGAAGTTGTGGAGTCAGTTACCTGATATGAATATGGACAATAAATTGCGTCCGAAACGTTGTTATCTAGTAAATGCTACTATCCTTTCACTGTAATTATTATTGATAAAGTCAACTGTTACAAAGCGAAGTTATGGGAGCTAGAGATGACAGTCGAGAATGAAGATGATTCAACCTGAGAAAATCAAAAAAACTGAGCTTATAGTACCCTGAACTGAAAAGGTTTACTACTGAAAAACTGACTGTATAAACAGAAGTTAAAGTGACCTTGAAAGAAAGAATAATTAGTACATTTAAAGGGTCAGGAGCCAATCAAAACCCTAGCGGTTCTTTTGAAATATGACCAATTTGTGGAAAAATAAAAGATAAACGAAAGCAGTTCAAAATGTACATATAGTAAGTACGGAATACAAGGGATATAAATGTACATAATCAGAAGAGGCAGCGAAGACGGGACTTCAAGTGAATGTAGAGAAGACAGAGGTGATGAAGATCGTTACTGAAGATCAGATGGGCAGAAAGAATCAGCAACAAGGAGCTGTGGGAACAAACCAACCAAGAACTTATGGCTCAACAAATATGGAGAAGAAGGAAATGGAGATGGATCGGATACACTGAGAAGGCCGACTGGGGACATCACGTGTCAGGCTAGGGACTCGAGTGGAACCCAGATGGGTAACGGCGAGTTGGGCGTCCAAGGCGAGGGTGACATGCGGGAGATGGTACGAGGAAGAAATGAGAGCTTGTGGGCTGTCATGGAGCCAGGTTCGCAAGACTGAAAAGATTGTAGAGAAGAGAGTGCACCGGAGGCGTGCTACTGAAGTCTTATTTTCCACTAGGAACCCAAGGGACAAATAATAATAATAATAATAATAATAATAATAAACGTCCATAGTAACAACAATAACAACAAATTATTTAGGCTTGGTACCGTTGTTAACAATGTTAACTAGTTTATCTTGGCTGCCTGATTTATTTATTTTACTATTTCTCCTTTGTGTTCCGAGTGGAACATGGGGCTTCAATAGGACGTAGCCATTTCAATCTCTTCTCTCTAGTTTTTCAACTTGGCTTCACCACTACCCGTAAGCTTTCATTTCTTCCTCACACATCATTTCCTCCGTCATTCTCGCCTCCGATGCCCAACTCATCTTTTCCTATTCGAGTTCCACTCAACAGCCTGGCCTGACTCGTGATGTCCTGAAACCGTGTTCTCAGTGCAGGCTCAATACTGTCCGTCTCCACTTCCTTCTGCATATTTGTTGGGTGATAGATTATGGATTCGTTGGTTTGTTGCCAGGACAGAATTCCTTGTTGTTTCTTTTTATTATTCTGGCCATCTGATCTCCATATTCAGTATCGAGTTAGCATAGGCGGCAGCTGTTGATGTATGACGTCTGCAGTTTGTTGAAAGTACTTTTCCTAACGCATCAAGTCTCTCAACCATGACATACAAGCACTGACTTGACTGGATTAGCGTTGAAAATCCGGATGTTGTTCACGCTTTATGCTGAGTGTAGCGTAGTGCAGTAGATCTCCACACTGATTTCAGATTAGTGCAAGAAGGTGTGTCTTCCATCTTATCGATCCTGGCTTTGACATCCTCATCTGTGCCTGTGCCGCTGCCTGTAGTTGAGAGGACGCTGCCTCCTAGGTAGATGGGTGAAGGAGACAACTTCGTTTAGATTTCTTCCAGCCTGTCATCACCGAGCTTTCCATTATGAATCACTTGGCATGTACCGTCACCATATGGTTACTTGATAGTCAATGTTTTTCGTGTGGCTATTTGAAGAGAGTACTGTGTTATGGATATTGTACTTTATCGGTCAACTAATTAACTTGAAATAGGTGAAATACTTACACCTATGTATTATGTTCTAATTGGGAATATTTAAAATCTCAGTGTAAACTGAATAACCGTTTCAACTCATAGAGGTACATGTCTTTAGCTGTTTCTAAAGATTGATCTGATAACCATTATAACTGGTACCTTATACCTACATAGACAAATGTTTTCGGTAGTAATGACTACTAGGGGCTAGCGGTGGAAACCGGTCAGCTGGTCTTCCAGTTTGAAGTGATGCTATTCTCACTAAGATTTTAATCCACTACCAATTACTCTAAAGGCTACTTTTAATGAGTTATTCCTTGTTCAATGGGTATAATTCTTATGATATTGCTTGTAATTCCGAGTTGTTGTTGTTAGGTTTTTCCTGGTATTTAAGCATCTACGCAGATATTTTCAGCATTTGCTTTTTCTACTTCAGATGATTAGAACGATAGCCAGAAGCTTATTCTGATGCCAGGAATTGCATTTGGCTTCAAATGTGAATTTTATTCCCCTTTTGTATAATAATTAGAAGGAAAACTAGCTATGCACTCCTAATCGACCTCTGGTCTGTTACACCATATCTGGAAAATAAATATAAAGCATTTTAAAACAGCGTAATTCATTTCTACGACATTTTTGATTCTTGTTTACCGTCTGAAATTTATCTTCATTTCTTTTCTAGCCTGTTGGCTTCGTAACCTTTGAATCACGAGAACAGGCTGAAGAAGCAATGACGAAACTTCAGGTAATGTAATCAAAACAACTATTCATTTTTGTTTTGTTCTGTACAGCATCTTGTAGTATGAAATATTTGGTCATCATTGACTGACTTGCTGAGGGGTAGAATACTAGGCAAGGAAAGCAAGTTAGTCAGTCTATGAAGTTATGAACTCTCAGCAAATGAAGTGACTTGATCATGTGTTTGTATACCCAGCCACCATCTACCTCGACAAATAATGTTCACTGATGTTCAAATGCGTTGAAAAAAGGCTAAGAGTGTAAATTTAAGACTTTGGTACTCTGGTAGAATACAGTTCTACAGTAGATACTTTTATATGATTATATACCACACAAAGATATAGCATTATTTATTTCTTGACCTTTCGAGCATAAATTATTGAATTTGGGGGTTTGTGGGGGGGATTTAATGAATTTTCAAGTTGGTATTCCTCATGAATTGACATCAGTCGGAGAAACACTGGAAACCTGAGAGCACTGGACAACTGTTTCATCCTAATATGGGACTCTCCAGCAGTGCACACCCATGACCCCCCCCAGGGATCGAACTCAGGACCTTCAGGTTCCGTAACCAACACGTTACCATTGAGTCACTTTACGAGAAGACAATGAGAAGTCATGATCGGTGGGGCAAACATGAGGGACATGAGGACACATACTCAACGATGACGTCGGGTAATGGTCGTGGTATGCCGTAAGTTGATAGAAGTTGGAAGTATGAATCATTAGATTCCACCCACCTATTGGCTCAATGGTAACGTGCTAGCCATGGAATCTGAAAGTCCTGGATTTGTTCCTTGGTGAAATGGATTCATGGGTGCGCACTACTGAGGAGCCCCACACTGGTCGGACGAAACAGATGCTTGGCGTCTCCAGGTTTCTAATGTTCCTCCGATTGATATCAGTCAACCGGGAATACCATAAATTGTTGCTCCTAATCATATCAATGTAATGACACAACTTTCGATACGTGACTTTTATGGACGTATCACCTCGTGTTCTTTCATTTTGCCGGTAGTAGAATTTTCCACATCTTTCGTGAAGCTATTGTCTCATTACTACTACATGTTTTTCGGGTGCTGATTTGATGGACAAAGGTTCGGTAGTCCATCTCTCCCTCTCTCTAACTAAACTGGATTAAAGTACGGCGACTTCATCATTGTATATCAGTACATAACTAAGATTCTTTTTGAGATTACTGTTCATTTTGGGATCTCTCATCCGACGCTTGACTAAATTCCTATAGTATTCACTGTATGATTACTACTTCGTTTCTTGTGTGCTATCATGAATTTCTTAATACACGCTAGGGAATAACTGTTACTTCTGTTTAAGTTCCCTGGGTTGATCGGTAAGTTTTCTAACTCAATTATTTAAACGAATGACTAAATTCACCTTGACTAACATTGGATGAGGTGACTTGAATTCTATAAACCTGTCAGAATGTGTGGGTTTCCTGAAGACGGTAGCATCCAAACCATCGTCTGTCCTTCATTTCACTCTCAAATCCAACATACGTAATTCTCCTTCTTCATTTTATACCTCATAAGAAAACCAACACATTCCAACAGATATTTACACTTCAACTTATCTCATCCAATGTCAGTTAAGGTAGACTTAGTCAAATGTGCAAATGTCCATACCGAGTTACCGTCTAAATAGGGGAAGTTGAAATGGGTTGGAAGAGAGTTCAGGGTGAGCAGATCAAGATATGACACCAGTTGATGAAGTTTCTAACTGCTGACCTGAGCCACGTGGAAAGATTTGCACTGCCTGGATTGGGTCTTCGAGACAAGAAAGATCGGTAGTTGAGGACATCAGGTGATATAAAACTTGGAAATCAACACAGAACCTGGCACGGAAGTACAGTGGTTCAAGTTGTCACACTTCATAGGACCATATAACAAACAAGTAGACAGAAAAAGAATGATATCAAAGTAGACAATGATGTATGGAAGAAGAAAGAATTTAAAAGTGGCGGTTAGTGAGAATGTTCAGTCTTCAAAAGACGTCAAAGTGTGGCATTTTACCAAAGGTCGCCAAATATTGATTCCTGTAATCTCGTGGACCCCAACCTCTCTCTTTCTGGCTCAAACTAAGCATCAGAAACCTCATGGATTTATACCACTCCTTAATTTTATCATCCTGAGCCTTCTTTCAACGTAATCCGACTTCTCCTAACTCTACATATCGAGGTAGGAGGTGACCAAGCTTATTTAGTCACTTTAGGCTAACAATCTCATTCAAAGAATTACCTTCTTCACTAAATATCTTTTACTGCCATCAACATTTTTCCCATAGTGATTCCACAATAAGCGAGCAATGCCATGAAGACACATGTAGCCAAAAGCCTGTTATATTTTCATATCTACTACTTTCAGCGACCATGTCGCTTAACCGTATAACAGAAAAGAACGAACTATAACGCAGTATGCTCGTCTTTTAACAAATTGGTCAAAGATACTGTTGTAGGAGCTTGTTAAATCCCAAGCAAGTTTATCTGTTTTCCTGACTTCAATTGGTTCGGTTAAATAATGAAGAAAATTATCTGGTCAGTTATTCCCATCAATGTCATTTCAACACTACGAGGTACCACAAACCTTTATCAACCTCATTCAACAGCTATATGAAGACGGTACATGCCAAGTGATTCACAACGGAAAGCTCAGTGATGCCTTTGAAGTGAAGTGAAGACAGGAGTAAGACAAGGCTGCCACCTACTATCACCTGTGATCTTCCTGATTGTGGTCGACTGGATCATGCAGCAGACCGTCAGGAGCGAGAAGATAAGGATAGGCTAGGCCTACAAAAAGTGATAAGAATATTTGGATTTTGCTGATGATGACTTACGTCTAATGTCTTGTGGCACAAACTCGAAAATGTACAGGCGAAAACCAACAAGTCGACGGATAGGCAGTGCAGAGAAGGAAGACAGGACTCCCTTCAGGTGAACGTAGCGAAAACAGAGGTGATGAGAATACCCAACCAACAACAACAAGATCCAATCACCATGAACGGGAGAAACCTAAAGGGGGTAGTCTCTTTCACCTACGAAGGAGGCAGCATCGTTTCAACTACAGGTGACATAGGCTCAGATGAGGACGTCAAAGCCAGTATCGTAAAGATAGCGAGACAGGCTTTCATTAATCTGAAATCAGTGTGGAGATCGACTGCACCAGCTTTAAAAACAAGATCCGGATTTTCAACACCAATCCAGTCAGGTCAGTACTGCTATATGGTTCAGAAACTTGGCATTTTACGTAAACCACTTCCAACAAACTGCAGATATTCATCAACAGACGCCTACGCTCAACACTAAAGACCAGGTGGATGGCCAGAAGGAATAAGTAAGGAGAAACTGTGGTCTGGCAACGAACCAACCAAAAACCCATCTTCCAACAAGTATGCAAAAGAAGTGAGTGGAGATGGATCGGGCATACATTGAGAAAACCATTCGGAGACATCATGGGCCAGGCCATCTGGTCCAGTGGAATCCAAATGGGAAACGACGAGTTAGACGCGCTAGAGTGACTCGGAGAAGATCGTATGAGGAGGAAACGAAAGCTTCTGGGGGGGGATCACTGAAATGTGTTAAAAAGACTTCAGAGAAGAGAGTGCAATGAAGGCGTGCTACTGAAGCCCTATGTCCCACCAGGAGCCCAAGGGACAAATAATAATGTTATATTTCATTGAGAATTAGCTTATGAACTTCAAGTAAAACTGATATCTCTACTCCAATTGTTATCGCCTTTTTTCGTGTGTTTCAACAACTTTATCGATCTTTACTCCGTAATTTCGTCTCACGATATCTTATACGTTTACATACACCATATATACGCATGTTCATAGCATCAACTAGTTGTATTCTCTTCAGTTGGTGTTTTTTTTTCTCTCGGAAAACTTTTAACTTGAAATAGAATACACTCACAACTCTTGATATACACACTTGTATATGTATGCACAATTTTCTGAGAAAATTGCCGATAAACTAACGGAAACACAAGTGTATACATGGTAAACATTAAAATGTTTTATGTTGACATGGTTACTTGTTTCATTGATTTGTTTTCTTACTTGTTTTTTGAGCGTTGTTTAAAATGAATTTTTGGGATCTTAATATATTCACAAAACAGGTTGTTGATGAAAACAGTTTAACAATCGATAAAATGAGGTACATATATGTGTTAATATATATAGAACAATGAAAATTACCTTAATTATTCATAAACATATTTGAGTCTGATTCAATGACAACATAATCATACTGACTAATTATTTTCACTATCTGACATAGTAACCGTGGTTTGACAGTCTTGTACTGATACTTGGTGATAACTGAAATGAAAACTTGAACTGCAGCCTGATTCGAACCAGCGACTTTCGGGTTTCTAGCCTCGATGCTCTACCAACTGAGTTATGAGACCCGACTGTTGACCAGATTTTTATTTCACTTCAATTACCTCAATAAAAATCTGGTCAACAGTCGGGTATCATAGGTCAGTTGGTAAAGCACCAGGTCGAAAACCCGGTGCTCCCTGGTTCGAACCCTGTCGTGGTCTAAATTTTCATTTCACCTTCAATCATCACCCCAGTATCAATATGCTCACATAACAAAGTAATGTCTTGATACTTTACGTTATCTAAATCATAATTAAACCTACATGAGGCTTTTATACACTGGACTTAGTCAATAAAACTGACCAAAGTAAAACTGGTTGTGAAACTGAAGACGACAATTTGTTAACTGTATGACAGCAACCAAATAAGAAGGGAAAAAAAGATAGTTTATGGTAGTTATGGAAAAATGCATGTTATTGGGTACCACAATACACAGGGATGTTTAGAAGTTATATATGTTTCTGTCTGAAACAGGTTACCCCATGAAGTAGTTGTTCATGAAAAGCACTTCCTTGATTAGACAATTAAAGTACACACGAACAGTCTTGAAAATAAGTGGAGTGGTTTTAGAAAATTCTAAAAGCTCCTGAAATATGCTGATGAAGAGAA